GCCGCCGGAGCGGAGAAAGTTTCCCCCGCTCAGACGAGCTCCACAAAAGAGAGCACTCAGCCGCTGTGAAGTAAGCCACAACATACGCATCGCAATAAATGTAAGCCAACAAGACAAGCCCAAAAAGCCAAAGGGACAGGGGCGTGGATGCTGCGGCTACACGCAGAGAAGTTACGAGTTCTTTAAAAACAACACCTTACTTTTTTGCCACAGAACAAGCTGCAGAAATATCTTATTTTTAAGAGATCTATCAACCTGCATGGGGTCTTCAAATAAACATCTTTGAAATGATTACTTTAGCACAATAACTTGTTTCTTGAAACCGCTTGCCTTGAAACACCTCATTTTCACACATTTTGATTTCGGGCCTTCGAATGGAACTGAAAAATGGGCTTTCTTTTAATGCACCCTCTTGTGATTTGCATGTGAATTTGAAAACTTTGGGATCTATATAGTATCGAATTTCGCTCGGTGGAGCATTGTGGGACAGGCGGAGCGTCTTCGCCCATAAGTGGGTCATGCCCATCGAGGGAGAGTTCCCTCAATCACACGCGTGTCCATATTGTATAACCGATAAGAGGTGCGAGTGTGGCCCAAACCCGAAAAGCGGTTGACATGTTTACCGTTACGCTTAGCACCTGCGACTACTGGCACTGGCCTATTGACTATAGGTTTTCACTTTTCGGACTGGAACGTGGGGATGTGATAGCAGGCTGGGAAGCGCGAAGCTCACTCGGTCGGATCTCTCGGCGGACTGACGGCACTCGAGCCACTGCACTGGCATATGAATGTGACCATGACGGCGGTATTGGCAGTGGAGAGGCGGCCACCTAGCCACCTAGCCACCAAGCAAACAGAGGCGAGAACTTCAGGGGAATAGGCGCTGTAAGTCAATGCCAATTGCTGAAAGCGCTCGGCGAACAAATAGCGATCGTGCATAATTACGGGAAATATTTATCGCTCAGATACGGCCAGCGAGCACGAACACAATCGTCGGGGTTAAGAAGCCGCCGGAATATATGGAATATAAAGATATGCACATGGATAGCCGTGGCTTTCGGCTTTCTGCGATGGGGTAAAGATCAAAGGCTGTCCATCGCTGATAAGGGCGGAACAAAGCGGCTTCTTTAAAAATACTGCCGATTAGATGAGATACTTTTTCCATTTGCCTGGACAAATACAAGTTTTTCGCCATTTGTTACTTAAGACTTAATTATAAGATGAATTAGTTATACTAATTATTTTTCTGACATATTTTAAGCTGATTAACAAAAGGCTTATCATATTTTCTAAGCTCTATCTTCAAATATGATTCCAGGCTGCACGCAATCGGTGATTGATAAAATAATGTACAGAAATCACTTAAAATGAATTGATAACAAAACTACTTTAAGTAATTGTGATATTACTTGAGTGTAAGCTGACTTGATTAATTAAGTCAAGTGAAAGTCAGCCGTATTATCAAAATTATATTCGGTCCTATTGTGCGAAAGTATGAATCATTTTCTGAAGTCGTGAAACTCTAATTTCAAGTAATTTAAGCGGTTTAAGTCATTTAAGTTATTTTCCCGAGTGGCCGATTGGAATAAAGCAACCCGTGGGTTTCAGTATGGAAATGGATGAGCTGTTTATGCAGTCGAGGGGAAAGGGAAGGGCAAAGGGGCACTGTTGTGGTTTTGTGAGCTTATTTTTAGCACTTCGTAATTGGGAAATATTTGAATAAACATTTCCTGGAACTGTTGCGCACTTGGCTAATTGTTTGCTCTTGAGTCTTTTTTTTTTCGGCTGCAGAAGGCTGTGGAGCGGCGGATGGGGTGGGGGAGGTCAAAGGTCGGGGTGCTCCCGATAGAAATACACGTGTATTTGCGAGCCGGGAGATAAGCATAGCTTAGGGGTCAGGATTATGAAACTGAACTAAGGCGATTCATATCACTGGAAATGGAACATTTTCGATCTACATTATGGCACACGGCTGGAAAAACGCTGTGAAACAGCTTTTGCCGATTTTATTTACAATAAGCAATCCTAGTAGCACACATATTATGTTCCTCTGACTTCTGGTTACATCAGCGTCCACGCTGACCACCTGCCACGCCCACAGCCTTCAGGCAGCGCAGCTTGAAAAGTACCCCCGCTCGCTGTCAACTTACTTGCTAATATTAATGGTCCAGGGCGGGCGATATGTTAAAAGCTAAACTAATCTTGAATAAAATTAAGCAACGAAACTGCGGCACCTTAGCCGCAGGCAGTGTTGGAAAGCGCGCAGCGCTAGAACAGCTGTTCACCGGGTCAGCTGTTTGGCTCGCAGGCTAAGCAACACTGGCGCCATCACGTGAATCTCGTGGGCATTGTGAACTGTCACTTTTTTCGCCAGCGCTTTTCTCACCACACAATTTCGTTCGTATTTGTGGGTGGCGGCGGTCGATTTGCGCTGATTTTTTGGCAAAGAAAAACGCACTTGCTGTTTTTAGATAGCACATAAAGCACACCTGTTTCGTTTGCAATCAACCAGAGTCGCTGAAAAGTAAGTGCCAACCGTAAGGAATAGTTTATTCGGCGGGTTTTCCACGTCGCCGTGAAAAGTGCAAAAGATACCCCTCGAGGAAAAAAGACCGATTACTACATCGCAGTAGGTCTGCTGACCAGAAAAAGTGCGCAAATCTTTTATAGCTAAACGCAGATAGTGAGAAAATTAGTTTTTGCAATGTGGCTATGATTTTTTCGAAGCAGTGTGACCCTGAAAATAAGAGTTAGCCAGTTTGATGCGATTCGTTCGCCAGCAGATTGCCGCAAGGCCTGCGGATATATCTGGAAATATCCAGCTGGTGATCGTGTGGGCTGGGGGACGGGCAGTCGGGAAAATGTGTGAAAAGTGTTTTGGTTATTGTGCCCAAATGAAAAACCCGTGAGCAGCGGAAAATTATCGATCGAAAAACTGTCATGTGACTGTCAACGAACAGCTGACATTGCGAGTGCAACTCACCACGGCGAGTGGTGAAAAGAGCGCAGCAGTCGCTTTCAAATTCAAAGAGAACGAAAAGAATTCTCTTACTCTCTTTGGGTAAACAAAATAAGCTGAAAATTTTTCGTTTAAAAATTGAAATACTTTTCGGTTATTTTTCCACAAGGCACGTATTTCGCTGATTAATAGATTGTGTTGTGCGAAAACAAGCAAATACACTTTGATGCGCTGCACGAGGATTAATAAATAATGGTATTGCGTGCACCAAGGACCTTGATGAAAACCGGCCACATATATTTTACTTGATATACTGTATACTCTACGAGCTGTAGGCAAAACACAAACGCGGCCAATAAGGCGGAAATCCAAATGGCCAAACAGCTGCTGGAATTCCAGCGCGTGCTTATCTGTATGTCTGTGTGCAAGGTCTCCCGAGCCGCCCACTCCCACTCCCAGCCCACCCACTACCACCCAAATTCCACCCCCCGGCAAGCACATTATTATTAATTAATTTGGGCGCACACCCACTGCGGCGAGGATATCGTCAAAACTTTGTTTTCCTCCTTTGTTCCATTTTTTATTGTCCTTTGTTTTCGTCGCTGCAATTTCCTGTATTGGATTTGGACTACCCCAACTGGATGTGTATCTAGATTTGGGTATGGGCATGAGCATGGGCATGGTCTTGGAATCGGTATATGGATATGGATTAAGCCCTGGACCCCAGGCCCTCTCCATTAGCGCCAGCCGTTGGCCAGTCAGACTGTCTCCATTCGCTTGGCGACGCGTTGGCTGGAGCCCTCCGCTTGTCGTCCCTCTGTCCTCGCTTTTCCCTTGGACTCGGGCCAATCCACGTCATCAGTTCAACATGAACATGGCAGCATAACAGTTGGTAACTCCTGCTCGTCGCCCTCCCTATCTGTCCATATATCTATCTATCTATGTGTTTCCCCTTTTGGGCCGCAGCAACTTGACTTTCGCTGCTAAAAATAAACATACGTAGTTCTGCACTGGAAACAAAACGTGCACTCTTCTCTGACATCGTATTGTGCAAGTCACCTTATGGAGTATATAGAGCATATGTTGCAACCCAAACATGAGTGGTTAATTATCATTGCCTACATTCTGCCATTAGATCAGCATTCAGCCATTAAAATCTGAACTTTTATACCTAGATAAATTAGATAATAACTCTCACATATCAATTTCGTATCAGTTTGCATGTCACGAATCATGGCTAAGGAATTCGAACGGTATTTTAGACTTTCATCAAGCTGAAGAGGATACAGAACAGTCTATACTATAACTATAACTATTCAATAATCATAATTATCTCAAAAGCTGAGTATATAAATAGTTTTGTAAAGATCTTGCAAAAATTAACTATGAAATTGACTGATCCCCGGTTATGTCATTCTTAACCTTCTTTGGATGCAAAATTATATTTTATAGCCTCGGCTGATATTTTTTCTTTGCGTGTTTCCCTATCTCATTTACCATGCTCCCCTGTCAGTTGCCAGGATTGTTGCTGTTGTCACTCCCGCCCCTCCAGTTAATGTCCTTGTTGCTACTTCTGTCGCTTCCTGGGCGAGGACAATGCACTGCCTTGACTTTTGATGGGGCAGGAGGAGGAAGGCGGATCTGGAGCCGGAGACGGAGCTAAGCTGTTGTCACTCCTTGGGCTCGTGTTTTGTTTTCGTGCCTCTTTGTGAAGGCCATCATGGTAGTTATGTAATAACAGTGCCGACCATAGGCCGAAATTGGGTAAAGTTAGATTTATATCTCGTGGCGTTTGCTGTGTGATTACTCATACGCCCTGTGGCAGGAGCAAACAGAGGAGCAGCGGCGCTAGGAGTCAGCGACACTTGCCCAAATTGAGCACTCGTTTTCGTTTGAGCCATGGCGCCTTTTTCCTTTCCTGCCTTCCGTGCTTTCCGTGCGGCTTCGTCATCAACCGGACGGATTCGTGTTCGGCTGACGAAGCGGATCGCAGATACTTCGGCCGCCGTTGGCTTTTTCGACTTCCATGGCATCTGGTCGTTATGCCAGCCGTCATTCGGCGACGAACACCCGACATAGAAGCACGCCAGTCAGCATGTGGCACAACCGGAGAAAGTAGGAAAAACAAACGGAGTAGAGGAAAACCCCAGTAACGGCGGCCAGTGAAAAATGCCAAAAAACCTGGTGGAAAAGTTCCTAACCATTCTGTTGAGACGCAAGGAGTGCTAGGATCAAGTGTTTGTGTAAGCAACGAGGCCTGTACAGTGTACACATGTATGCACATACATACATATGTATATACCATAGAAACATAGACAAACTGGCGCTGGACTGCCTGGCGCCAGAGTTTGGGGTTGTGATGGTTCCATTCGGGGCTCCTTTGTCTGCGGAGAGTGCACTTTTCAGGGCTCGATCACATCTACTCGTACATACAACTCAGTTACTCGATGGTCAGTGTTAATTAAATTTTCAACAGCAGCAACTTTCGTGTCACTCAATCGATAGGAGGAGTTACATAAATTGGGAGGGGGTAATCGATTTAGCAAGGTCACAGACAAATTGACTCCGACTTTTACTCACTCCCAAACTTATTCACCCCCAATAGCCATCAAGATGATGTCTGAATACTGGATTATCTCGGCCCCTGGCGACAAGACCTGCCAGCAGACGTACGACACCATGAACAACCTGACCAGCAAGCAACACAACCTGTGCAATAACTACAAGTTCCATATCCCAGATCTTAAGGTAAGTTCTCTCAAAAGTGATGTAACTGAAGTGGTATATATTTCGGTGTACTCATGCCCCATTTAACCACTGATTTATCATTAAAGGTGGGCACCCTCGACCAACTGGTGGGCCTCTCCGACGATCTGGGCAAACTGGACACCTATGTGGAGCAGATCACCCGCAAGGTAGCCAACTACCTGGGCGAGGTGCTCGAGGATCAGAGGGACAAGCTGCACGAGAACCTGATGGCCAACAACAGTAAGTCGTCTGCCTGCCACCACTTAAGTTGTATTAGCCTAGCTTAGTCTAGCTTAGCTTAGTTCCGTTTAGTTTAGTTTAGTTTTAGTTGACGTGGTTAGGTGATGCCTGTCCCGAGTCACGAATCTATATCGTTTTGGTTCTTTAGTTATTTCTAAGCAGTTCTTCTGACCGTAGTCACTTTTGAATCGGAATGCTCAGATATATTCGTACCATGTGTATTGCCCACATCTATTGTTTACCCACAACTATTCTGTACTAACTAACAACCAGTGAGACATTAATCGAAATCCCGTTTTCCAAGCCGTCGAGGGCTGTACGAAGTCGGTTACTATGGAATGTTTTGATCTATCTATGTCTCTGTGTGAGAAAAGCCCAATCTAACTAACACGAATACCGTCTATTTCCATCATGACTTAATATACCTACCCAATAGATTATGCGAGAAACAGATTTAAAAACTAATCGATTTTCAGCCGAAACACTTCGGCCCTACATTTATTTGGTTCGAGTTCTAGTTTCTAGGCCTTTTACTTTTTCGTTCCCTAACATTATTTTCCTTTACACTCCTTGGTTCCTTTTGATTTTGATTTGATATGTTTCGTTTACGTTATTTTTGATTTCTATTGAACTCATGCGCACAATCATCACCACTGAAAAGAAGGATATTTCGTAGGCATCTAGCTCAAGTTGATCTAAAAAGATACAGTGCCATCAAACAACAATGGAATTAAACTTTGCGGCCAACAATAAACTACAAAAGAGTTGAAATTGAAACGAAAGAAAACAGAAATGTTGAAATTAGCCGAATGGGAATTTGCGTTGTTTATTTTGTGTTGCGTTTGTTGTACAATTTAATGCGCACCGACCTCACACACTATATAAATCTAAAACTACTCTATACTATGCCAGCTAAACACACACAGATACACACACACACCAGCGTATTTTTGGCCCCTTTCAAGGGCGCCCAAATCCCCGGTCAACTACTCCATTACGTTGGTCGAAGGTCGCCCCTGAAAATAAAATATACTCGTATATATAATAAATTCATGACAAACAATTGAAACACACTCACTCACACACGCTGAAGGAGTACAGTGAACACTTTGTATATTTTACATGAATTGTTGTACGTTTCTTTTCGGTTTTCGATACGATTGAGTTGGACAAGTTATTTGTGGTCTTCCGTCATTTGAAAGCCCATTAGTTTTTAAATCATTCACCGCAAAAAATAGAACGAGAAAAAACGTATGAACGTATAAGATGAAGGAAAGCTAATGTGTAAAGATATACCCCCATTAACTGCATATATAACAATATAAATATATATATAAATACTTGACTATGAACATTTGCGCGAGTGTCGTTCCCTCATGCATATTTCCTAATTTTTATTTCGAGTTTACATGTACTATGATTTGTATAAATAACTTTGTAAGTGCGTGCGTCTACAAGTTGCCCGACTTTTGTACTGTACATATATGTTTAAACTATATAGACTGTTGTAATTGTTGTCTGTGTGTGTGTGTGTGCCTGATTGCAGTGTGTGCGTGTGTATCTGTGTTGTCTCATTTCCTCACCTGCATCGAATCGCTTGGAAAAACGCTTATTTCTGTACCAGACGCCTGTTTTTCCCCGAAAAGCCCACTCACACACACAGCCAAAGTGCAGAGATGCACCTCAAAGGACCTTTTTATCCGCCGAACGAGTGTGACTGCGTGCGTGTGGGTGGGTGGGCGTCAGTGTGTCTGTGTGTGTACCTCTGCACCTGTTCATACGCCTTTCACATCCACCGCCATTCGCTAATTGGGAAAGATGGGAGATACTTGCAATTAGAGCTAATTGGTAAAGTGTGGAGCACACGAAAAGTCGACAAAGAAACGCTTTTACACTGCAAACAAATTATTCGAGTACCAGAAAACGCCCAAAATGAAAGCACAAAATGAGACGCAAACATCTATCAGCCATGGGATCATTGAATTCCCCCCGATTACATTTTTGTTCCACTGTTGTTCATGGGATGCCATTCACTTCCAATTCCTTTTAGCACACATATCTCCAAAAAACAAACCCAATACGCACACATGAGTTTCAAGTTATTTACATTTTTCTCATATGATTTTCCTTATTTATTTATACGATATTTACAAAACGATAAGTATAATTTTGGTTTCGCTTTTGGTTGATGATCGTAACGATTAATGATTACCCAAAGATCTTCGGTTTTAGAGTTATGAAAGCAGTTGATCCTGAGATTAGATAGGCAAGTCTGAGGTTTAGCCCCTAAATGTATGCTACATAGTTTTACTTATAATTTATTTCGACCGTCCCGCCGGGAAATTGAGCCGAAGCACTCGGAAGGGAAACCATAGCTAAGACTAAGTCTGCAACCGAATCTAAATGCCTTGTGTTGTATTGTCTGTATCGAAAATCGAATCGCTACCAAAACAAAAACGACACCAAACGTCATCTCAAACCGAAACCCGATCGCCATCCGAATGAATCCTGAATCGTCCCGAATTCCGGCACGCGAATCCCGAACGAATCTTGCGCGGATGCAGGTCCTGGGCCACCCGACGACAGCATGCCGTGTCGCCACCACCAGCGCATCAAGCATCTCAGCCTGCGACACCAGCGAAAACACCAGCACACGCACCACCAAAACAAACCCCAACACTACCATCACCACCATCACCACCAGCTGCCGCAGGATCTCAAGGGTAAATCCGCAGCCACTTGTTCTCCCGCCACTCCTCCTGCGCCTGCGTCTGCACCACCCAATCTTCCGCCTGCCTGTGCCTGCGACGTCCTTGCGCCAGGATCCCTAACCGGCGGCAGCCTCACTAACCTGTCCACGAGTCACGACCCGGAGCCGGAGTTCGACGCCTGTCCGTGCGATGAGTGCTTCGCCTGTGCCCCGCCCAGCACCAGTGCCACGGCCAGCACGCTGCTGGCGGATGAGTGCTACTCCCAGACGGCCTCCTCCATGCTCAGTGCCACCCGGTGTGCACTGTCCACGGTGGCGGCTATAGCCACTGGGAGCGGTTTTGGCAGTGGGCCGAGCACCAGTGCCGCGGCCGCTGCAGCTGCATCCAGCTCCTCCGGTGCCGGCGGCGGTGGTGGAGCGGGGCCCGCCTCCTGCTCGACGCTCTGCTCCTCGGCCTATTTCTCCACGTCGGCGCCCACGACCAGCAGCTCGGTGCACAGCAGCATGTCCCGCTCTAACAGCAAGCGGCTGAATAACAACACTTGCAGCATCAACAATAACAAGCTCAGCTTCCGCAGCGGCAGCCATGTGAGCCAGCTGCACTTGGCCACGCAGCATCCGCAGCAGCCGCCGCATCATCATTCGCATCCGCCACCGCAACCGCAACCGCATTCCAATCCGCTGCAGTCGGCCGCACAAAAGTCCATGTCGGAGGACGAGGGCGATGCGTCAAATGCCCCCGAAGATGGGGAAACGGACGAGGACCCCAAGAGTCCGCACAGTGTGCAGTCCGATCTGTCGGACGCCTTCGACTGGTGGTTCAATAAGCCCAAGCGTAATTCTAAGAAGAGCAGGTATCTTATCATCGCATTACCTACTTTGTAGAACGTTGCCAAATCGCCAGCACCCCAGACAAAAAAAAATAAATAAAAACCAAACCAAAACCAGAAAATAAAAAGCCAGTCAGTCACCCGCTGTCATCCCGCTAAAGCTAAGCCAAATGAACACCACCACCACAACCACCAACACCACCCAACTTATACAAAAGCCTCACACCAAACACGCTGTATGTAAAAACACAAGATACAACACCACACACACTGAAAACAATGGCGCACCCGCTTTGCCTGCCCTCATCCAAAAACCAAAAACTAAAAACCAAATCCAAATCCAAAACCACACAACACCAGCAATATAAAACCCAGAAAATCCATATATGTTTCAGTTGATTAAGAACCAAGAACCGAGTCAAGTGCAATAATAATGTATTTCTTTTTTAAATCACTCCCCATCGCACATTCGCATTTGCCCACCCATGATCACCATCACCATCACCACCACCATTCGCCACTCGCAATCCACATTGACAGTGCACAACAGCAACACGAGACAGCACAGCAGCAACACCAACAGACGACACAGCAACATGCAACACCACTGACCCCACAGCAACACCCCAACCACAATCAAAACCAAAACCAATACCAAAACCAAAACCAATACCAATACCAATACCAAAACCAACACCTATCCAAAGCAATGACATTTTGGCATCAAGCATCGACCACACCGCGCTCTAGTTATCGCTCTTTCTTCAATTCTCTTGCCGATCAAATTTATAGCAAACGTTCTACACCGAGTCAATTAAATATAAACAATGGATTTAATTTAACACCAACACATAGATCGTCTCCAGTGAGTAGTTGTTGTGGCAGTAGTAGCCAGGGGCGATCCAGTCCGGACACGGATCCCGCCGAGCCGCCCGAGTTTCCGCTGAGTCCAGGTTAGCATGCCCGGGTTGGTGTTGGTCTGGTCCCCGAACCCGAACCGACCCAATCCCTCCTATATCGACTATGCAGATCTCTTGATCTCGACGTTGACATATACCTACTATATGTGTACATGTTGATGTTGCCGTTGCTCTTCCGTTCCGTTTGGTTTCCTTTAGTTCATCCTTATTTTCTCTGATTCTGATTCTGTTTCTGATTCTGATTTCTCCTTTTTGTTTCTTGAGCAACTTGATGTTTCCTGACACCACCACCTATCTGAACCACTCCACCTTCTTTGATCTTGATCGTCGTCCACTCACGGGAGTAAATGGCAAACGCAGACGAGTTTTCGTTTCCGTTTCCCTTTCCGCTTCTGTTCCTATCTTTTTGTTGAAGCAACTATTTCTCCCAGTGATCGTATCGAAGTTCTTCCTTCCTTCGCCACTTTTGATTTGCATTTCTCAACTTTCTCTGTGGTATTTGCAAACGCCTTTTGTTTGCGCTTTCGTTTTGCTTTGCCGCGATTTGACTATCAATATTTCAGTATATATGAATACACGGATCTGTTGATTATTTGTACCAGTGTAAAAGTGTAAAAGCGATTATGTTGTTCTTTCAGTGTACGCTCACCAAATCACCAAATGTTGTTCTGCGCTCCACATCATTACAGCCTCGACTAACGCCGATTCCCATTAAGCTATATAGTCAGTCAGCTATGTCACCAAAAAACAAACAAACTTAAAAAAATCACGATAATAATTTCTAAACCTGCAGCTTTGCCCAGCGCCAAATATTCAATCAATCAATCTCTGAGTTCCTGTTCGCTTTGTTTTTGCATTATATTTTTGTCTCTTGAGTGTCTATATATATACTTATTACACAGCATTATGTTTTCAAAGTCCAGCTAACGTGTTGTGCCGTATGACACGAAAGGTATTTCCAATTGCGACTAATATGCGTAGTCCAAAATCCCCCGTAATCCCCGTAGCCGTTGTAAATGCATCCAAAAATTGCTCGTTTATCGGTGTTCCTTGTTAATATAATCCTTATGTATCCTGTACGTGAGTGTGTGTGTGTGTGTCTGAGTAAATTAATGTAATTTATGTGTGCGTAATAACTAACTAATCAGCATTTTTCAGTTACCTTATTTACATTACTTATATAACTCTAATTTAAAATAGCTTTCCAGCCTAGTTTCCTTCAAACTAATTCAATACGATTTTTAGATCAATTACTATTACTATGTATTTTTTCAATTTCGTTTCGTACTTAAACATTAATTGAACAACCCGTTTGTTCAGCTAGTCAACTAAGAAAATAATTGCGATTTGTGCCAATCAGATTTAACTAATACCGATTTTCCACGCATCGATCATCAATAGCCGAACTACCCCAGTACTTGACCCGCTTCCAATGGGACATGGCCAAGTACCCGATCAAGCAGTCGCTGCGCAACATCGCCGACATTATCTCCAAGCAGATCGGTCAGATCGATGGCGACTTGAAGACCAAGTCGCAGGCCTACAACAACCTCAAGGGAAATCTGCAGAACCTGGAAAAGAAGAAGACGTAAGTTGAGATTGATAATTACTCTAACTCTATAAATATTCATATAATATTGCGCGTTTTACAGTGGCAGTCTGCTGACCAGGAATCTGGCTGACTTGGTCAAGAAGGAGCACTTCATCCTGGATTCGGAGTATCTGACCACCCTGCTGGTCATTGTACCCAAGTGAGTCGTGCATACCAGTCCATTATAAACCGATGATATTAATCGATACTTCACGCACAGGGTCATGGCTAATGACTGGCTGACCAACTACGAGAAGATCACCGACATGATCGTGCCCCGCTCCTCGCAGCTCATCCAGGAGGACGCCGACTACTGCCTGTTCAACGTGACGCTCTTCAAGAAGGTGGCTGAGGAGTTCAAGCTGCACGCCCGCGAGCGCAAGTTCATTGTGCGCGACTTTGTGTACAACGAGGAGGAGCTGGCTGCCGGCAAGAACGAGATGACCAAGCTGATGACGGACAAGAAGAAGCAGTTTGTGCGTAGCCCACTGAGAGCGTGTATCATGGAAGATCAGTTCTAATCTCGAATCCATTGCAGGGTCCCCTGGTTCGTTGGCTGAAGGTGAACTTTAGCGAGGCCTTCTGTGCCCTCATCCATGTCAAGGCGCTGCGCGTGTTTGTGGAATCCGTGCTGAGGTACACTATCGTATTGTGACCACCATTGAATGTGTTTATAAGTCATTTGTGCGCCCACAGATACGGCCTGCCTGTTAACTTCCAGGCCATCTTGATCGAGCCCAACAAGAAGAGCGTGAAGCGTCTGCGCGATGTGCTCAACCAGCTGTATGGTCACTTGGATGGTGTCTCCGCCGGCGGTGCTGTCAGCAGTGCTGATGTGGGTTAAAGTCGATACCCATTAATCTCTCCTAAACTGACGAGATTGTTTTTAATTCACTCCACAGAACGTAGACATCCCCGGCCTGGGCTTTGGCCAGTCCGAATACTTCCCCTATGTGTTCTACAAGGTCAACATCGATATGGTGGAGCAGGCCAAGGTCTAAGATCGTCCGTCGCCCCCAACATTGCATACATCCAGCCACACAAAATACACTTTAATACAAAAACAACCAACTTAAAAATCAGCTGAACCATTCGCAGACATCTAATGAAAGAAAATTAATAGATTACTTTAAATAATTTTAGTCATTGTTATCTAATTATTGTTGTTATTTATGTTGCGCGTTGCCGATATCTGTTTCAAATCAACTTCCGGTTCGAGAAATCGAGACGCGCCTAAATCAACCGAAATAAGTAAAAAAAAAAAAGAAAACTTTTGCAATAATCCCAGATCTTGTGGAACTTTCCCATTGTTCTTTTGTCCCTCTTCAGTTTGCAAAGCAGTATTTTATGTTTTTCTTATGCCTTATATATGTTTATGATATGATGAAAACCCAGAGTGTTTAACCCGCAGCCAAATTTACATGCATTGTCGCTAGAGACCCGGCTAAAATCCTCCTTTTTTGTTCGTTTTTTGGTAGCTATACAATAAACATTTGAGTTACATTTTGTTTTACAACATTTTCGTCTCGTTTCGTGCTTGTGCTCCACTTGGTATCTGTATCCGTGACTAACAGCCAACATACAAACAACATGCCCAAAATAAATTTAAGCCCGAAAATGGTGTCGCAAATCGCAAACCGAACGTTCCCACGGAGCTAATTGTGCTAACAAATTTCCGATGCTATGGTACGTTTCGAGTAAAGACAAACTATTAACCAACGGAAGTATTGTATTTATAAATGTTGCCTAGATATCGAAAATCTATAAGCAAAAAATCTGCGCGCTGTTTGCATACATTAATCGCTGAAAAGATCCGCTCGAGCCTGTTTGTTTAACCCTGCGTGTGCGTTAACCCAATAAAACAAAACAAAAAAAAACAGAACCATCAGCAGCGATTGAGGGTCTGCCACATGAGATATGAACAATAATATTCTATTCGTATGTAAAGTTTTTCAGTAATTCCTATTGCAAAATCGAGAATTGTGTACCGAGTTAGGCGAAACGTGAGAGAGATACAGTATCTATATATTAATATTTTAAAGTTATGCATACTATGTGTAAAAATGAAACGAATGAAACCATGTAAATGTCATTGCGTTATATAAGGTGCAATTAAGCCATCCTTGTAAATAATTATAAAGAAAGAAAGACATTCCCAACTTTGTTTTGTTATCAATTGTTTGGATTGGAGCCGAGTCCAGTTCGCATTTATTATTAAATACTTTCAGCTTAGGACTAAGGTACAAAACGCTCTTTGAACATCAACTTTCACAGATTTCATTCGAAAGAGTGTGACTTAAGCAATACGTTTAATTCTATGTTTTATGGACAAATAATTAAAAAGTGTTGTGCGAATGTCATTGATTTATAATATTGGACAATTAAATTTAACTCGAACTAAATCTGTGAAAGTGAAGAAAGGCGTTCGAATATTTTAGACAATTCTCTTTCGGTGCTAGATCTCCTGTTTCGGCTTGTTTTGCGTCGAGGCGTTGCGCGAAATTTTCAGGATGTTGGGTGGCTTGGGCTGGTTTTTGTCTGCCTCGTATTGGGCGCGATGCAATCGCTGGCGGTGCTTGTACATGTTGGCGGAGCAGAAGAATGTCATCGGGCAGTTGGGACAGGTGTAGAGTACTTCACCAGTATGGGTGGATGTGTGCTCCTACAAGCGGGTTTCAATAAAGTTCACCAATTTACTTAAACAGGCCATGGGATCCAAACTCACCTTGAGCTCCTGCGGCCGCTTGAAAGCCTTTTCGCACATGGTGCACTTGAACTTGCGCTCGCACTCGTGATTGTGGTAGATGTGGCGCCTGAGAGCCCTTGCATTTGGGGATACTTTGGCGCATATGTGGCAGCGGTGCTCGCCGGCACTCTCTACGTGGATGCTCTTCATGTGCTGCTTCAGGCCTGTCATGCCCTTTAGCCAAGCGCCGCATACCTGGCACTGCTGCAGCTCCGGTTCCGGACGTGGCTTATCTGAGTGCATCAGCTCCTGGTGCTTCTTCAGGATGATCTTGGTGCGCATCTGCTTGCCGCACTTGTCGCAGATTATGGTGCTCTCTGGGTCATGCATGGAGCTCATATGGTTTTTCAGCTTGCGCTCGGTGAGGAATCTGTTGCAAAATAATAAACAAAAGTTAAGAAAGACGTACTGACGCTTAATGTAAACACGCACTTCTTATTGCACTCGGAACAGGTGAACTTGAACTCCGACTTGGGCACATGCTTGTTAAGCTTGTGATAGTCTATGGCCGTCTTGCTGAGGAAGGTCTTCGAGCAGAGGTCGCAGCTGAAGGTAAGCTTGACGGCGGGATCCATGTGCACCTGCTGGTGCGACTCAAGATGTCGGGAATTTTGGAATGACTTCTCACAGACGGTGCACTTAAAGTGATCAGGATTCCAGTGGACGAGTACATGCTCGGCCAGAACTTTGCGCTGCGTGAACTTGCGGCCGCAACACATCATGTAGCCGGGATCCACTTGATGGGTCAGTCGGTGATGACGCTGCATCTCGGTGAAGTTGTGCACCAACAGATTGCAGATGGCACACGGCAGTACGCTGGTAAAGAACTTGGCAATGATGACATCGTACTCCTCCTGCTGCTTTTTGCGCTGCTCCAGCAGCTCGCGGGACATGCGAACTTTCGGCTCCGCCGGTTTCGTCCGCTTCTTGTATTTCTTGGGGCGCACTACTGTTCTTTTCGGCAGCACGGCAAACTCTTGCTTTCCATTGTCTAGCTCAAAGTCTGAGTCGGAGTCGAAGCCACCGCTGCCTCCGTCGTCTTCGGAGGAATTATCGCTGGGCACCAGGCATGAGAAGTCTGGGTCCGTCTCCTCATCTCCGAACTCGTCAAACTCTTCTGCCTTAAGGTCAAGTTGAATGTCTTCTTTAGGTTTCTGGGGCAGGGCAATGGATGCGTCTGATTTTCTTGGACGCCCACGACGCTTTTTGGGCGGCGCAGGCTCTGAAGTCTCTTCTTCTCCATCCTCGTCCTTATCTTTGTCTATAGAGGATCCCTCCTCTGCCTTTAAACGCTTCCTAAGGCGTCTGGCTGCGCCCTCAAGTTGGTCTTGGTTTTCTTGTGTGTTGGCCGAGCTCTCTAAGATCTCGATGCGGGGAAGAGTATCTAATTCATGCTCCTCAATCTTAATCTCTGGGTAGAAGAAGTTCCGTCCGCCTAGCTCTTGTGGTTCCGGCAACCGCTCCTCCTCTTGAGTTGGCAGTTTAAGAATCTCCGGAAAGGATGTAGGTTCCTGTGTTAGAGGATCATCCTCCATGAGCGCCACTTTTGTTTCCTGTAAAGAACTCTGCGCTGCACTGACGAACTCGTGCAAAGTGTGGAAGTCGGAGACGGTTTTCCAGCAACGCCCGCATATCCTTTCGTCGCTTTCCTTGGAGATCTGGACGGGGAAGTGCTGGTCTACGATCCTGGTCACCTCCAGTTGAACGCCCCGCGCGGAGTGTACATCTATATAGTCCCCCATCATGGCCGGATACTCGCACATGCAGAGTAAGCAGCACGGAGAGGAATCTATTAAAGATAGTGAAACAAAAAGTTAATAATTTAGGATCACCAGCTTTAGGGGGAAATAGGTTGCGGTCCAGGCGATTCCTTCACCGCCTCATGCTTACCCATTGCGATTTTTAGACTTTGTTACAGGTAATTAAAAGCCATCTAAGTGTTTAGGCGTAAAATGCAGGTTTTATTTACTTTACTAATTTGTTTAAAGCCGCAGTGCAATCAAAACGCCAGCTGTTTTGCAGTTCACAATAGCAGAACAAGCTGCGGGGGCTAACCAACACTGCCGATAACGATAGGCGATTCGTAACAGGATTCGGTCACTCTAAGGTTTGTGCATTAAAAATTATTGTTATTATTTACAATTTCAAAGACAAATGAACAGCTAATGCTGTGAGATTGAGTTTACTCAACATAAAATCCCGAAGCAGACAATTCTTAAACATTAACGCACAACAACGTGGTGAGAAATAGTACATTCCTTGAAGTAACCGAATCGACCATTTGTTTACGTTTTTATACTTTTTACTTTTTTATTTGCAGAATATCCCAACTGCAGCATGTCGGAAAAAGATGTTGTAAGATAAGTATAAACTGAATGCGAACCATTTCTAAGTCCTTTATATCTTTAGGCGAGCGGAGAGGGCTCCAATGAACCCAGGGAAACCATTTGGTACACTATTGGAGAGCTTGTGGAAATGGTTGTGTGTCCAGGTTGTGGAATATCTATGGTGTCGTTTAAAAACCGATTCGCACATATTAAGAAGTGCTTTAGCATCAAGAGACGAGGTCCTTTGTACCGGATTCACGGATATGCGGAGTGCAAGTGCGGTTTTCTTATTGCAGACACGGAAAAAGCCCGAAAATTGCATTGTTGTTCGGTAAATAAGCAAAGTGCAATAGTGCAAGTGCAATAATACCAAGATATGTAGTATTAAAAGTATGTTTATTTAGGGAAAACTTCGCCCCTGCAAGCCAATCATACCAGCTGAGCCAAAACCCCCCGCAGAAGAAGTTAATACATCAAAAAAGGAACAGGCTTTGCAGCCGTTGATACGCAACTTTATAAGCCCCATCAAGCAGCAGGAGTTTCCTTTTCTGGACATTTCATATTCCAGTAAATCTAATCCAAAACCACTGTCGAGACCACGTGTCCGTAACTTCGATAGACCTAGAAGTCAAGCTCCAAAGGAAGTCTGTGTGTACTCCATAATTCGGAGGAATGGGACTATTTCAGTGACGGGAAGATCCATCGTTAGGTACCGGGGAGGCAACGAAAACATTGCCATACTTAAAAGGCGGGAAATTAGACTGCCTGCAAGAATTAAAAATGAAAAACGTAAAACATAATTATGTATAAGTAAACTAAGCTGTAGGTAAGTCCTTATTATTAAGGAACTAAACATAGTCCCTTGTATTTATTAAGACTCAAGTAATTATTTGTTATATTTTTTTGCCCTTATTGAACCTTACTGTTTATAATAAGTAAACTTCTTAATTAATATAAACAAAAACAATTAATTTTTGTATATTAAAAGATAATGGTTGCTGTTTAGTAATATGAACAAGAAATTGATTGCATTCAAAGGGATTATTTTAAATACTTTCTTAAAATATTAATGAAAAATGTTAAATTCAACGAAGGTTCTGTTGCATTTTAAATTAAGCGCCACATTACAGTTGCATTTTAATTAGTTGGGTTAGGTAGCAGTCGCTGTTCACACTTGGTCACACTGCACTCCGAGCAAAACAAAATAATCCACGTAAAAAAGTTGATATCCCGGCGTTTATTTCTAAATTATCCGATGTCAGTCGCCAGGACCCAGGAATATGATTGCACCGTCAAGTGTAGACACCGCCAGCATGGAAACACCATCACCGCCGCGCTGACAAAGCGTTCCATTGACCACCGGAAGCTGGCGGCTTTTATTTTCAAGACGTGCGGAAATTTCGCCAATATTTTAGACGATCTGGTGGGTGGTGAAATCGGACAAGCCCTAGAAGGCCATTTATTTGTTATCTGCATCTCGAAATTCTAGGGCCGCTCGGCGGTGCACATGTCCGCCTCCACGGCCCGGTACGAGATTCTGGAGTGGCTGCTCAACCACGGAGCCTACATAAATGGCCAGGACTACGAATCGGGAAGCAGTCCATTACATAGAGCCCTCTACTATGGCTCTATAGATTGCGCGGTACTGCTGCTTCGCTACGGAGCCAGTTTGGAACTGCTGGACGAGGACACCAGGTGTCCACTGCAGGCCATCTGCCGAAAGTGCGATGACGATGATCTCGCCACGGATTCACAGTGAGTGGAGTGCAGAAAGCTGTTGATTTTACACACTTAGCTTATACATCTCCAACTAGAAACGATGTCCTAGTGTGGGGTTCCAACAAAAACTACAACCTGGGCATTGGCAACGAGCAGAACACCAATACCCCGCAGGCGGTGGACTTCTTCCGCAAGTCCAATCTTTGGCTGGAACAGGTAGCCCTGGGTGCTTACCACAGTCTGTTCTGCGACAAGAAGGGTCACCTGTATGCCGTGGGCCATGGAAAAGGCGGTCGCCTGGGCATCGGAGTGGAAAACAGTCTTCCTGCGCCCAAGAGGGTAAAGGTTTCGTCCAAACTGAGCGGCGACTCCATTCAGTGCATCAGCGTGTCCCGCCAGCACTCACTGGTGCTCACGCATCACTCGCTGGTTTTCGCCTGCGGCCTTAACACAGACCATCAATTGGGCGTGCGTGATGCCGCCGAGCACCTCACGCAGTTTAAGGAAGTGGTCGCGTTGCGTGACAAAGGTGCCAGCGATCTGGTGCGCGTGATCGCCTGCGATCAACACTCTATCGCCTACGGCAGCAGGTGTGTCTACGTCTGGGGGGCCAACCAAGGCCAGTTTGGCATAAGTGCTAACACGCCATCCATCATGGTGCCCACATTGGTGAGTTTTTAATATTGCTATACGCAGTCTCTAACATCCTTTTTGTTTAGATCAAGCTTCCTGCCAAGACTACAATACGCTTTGTGGAGGCCAACAACGCAGCCACGGTAATTTACAACGAGGAAAAAATCATCACGCTTTACTATGCAGACAAAACTAGATACATAAAGACACCCAAGTAGGTTTACTAAATTATAAAAAAGTATATCATAACAATTTGCTGCCCACCAGCTACGAAGATCTCAAGAGCATATCGGTAATGGGCGGCAACTTAAAGAACTCCACAAAGGGCTCCGCAGCAGCTCTCAAGCTACTTATGCTCACTGAAACCAATGTGGTGTATTTATGGTACGAGAACACTCAGCAATTTTATAGGTAAACCATTCACGTCAGTTAGAAGTTGTGTTTATGCCCACGTACTTGTTCGCAGATGTAATTTTTCACCCACTCGTCTGCCCCAGATTAAGAAAATACTCTACAAGTGCAATCAGGTTATGGTGCTTTCCGAGGATGGCTGCGTTTATCGGGGAAAGTGCAATCAGATCGCCCTGCCGGCCTCAGCACTGCAGGAAAAGTCTCGGGGCACCCTTGACAACTGGCAGGACAACGATCAAAACAAAACGGAAATCTCCAGGGAACACGTTATCCGGATCGAGCTGCAGCGAGTGCCGAACGTCGATCGTGCCACGGACATATTTTGCGATGAAGGCTTCGCGTCCTTTGCCGTTCTGCAGGAGTCGCACACCAAGTACTTTCGAAAACCAACACTCCCACGCAGGGAGCACAGCTTTAAAAAGCTGCTATACGAGACGAGCGACTGTGATGCTGTCCACGACGTGGTGTTCCATGTGGATGGAGAGAAGTTCGCGGCCCACAAGTTCATCATTTACAGCCGGGCGCCAGGGCTAAGAGACCTTATACGTTGTTATCTGGACAAGGATATTTATTTAAATCTGGACAATTTAACCGGAAAGATGTTTGAATTAATTTTGAATCACATCTACTCTTGCTACTGGCCAACAGAGGATGGTAAGATATGAATAATGTAAAAAAATTATTTTTTTAAATAAACCCCTTAAATATCTTACTTAGATATTGACTGTATACAGCAAAGTCTGGGGCCTGCGAATCCGCAACAACGTACTCGCACCTGCGAGATGTTCCTACCTCACCTGGAGAAGTTTCAACTAGTCGAGCTGGCCAAGTACGTACAGAGCTACGTGCGTGACCATCAATTTCCACTGCCCAATGCCCGAAAGGTTTTCAATCGCTTGCATCGCTCCGATCATCCGGAGTTGTACGATGTGAGAATTGTCTGCGAGGACGGAAAGGTACTAGAGGCTCATAAATGTATGTTAGTGGCACGTTTGGAGTACTTTGAGATGATGTTCATGCACTCATGGGCGGAGCGCTCTTCTGTCACCATGGAAGGTGTACCCGCGGAATATATGGAGCCGGTTCTCGATTACCTGTACAGTCTGGACAACGAAGCTTTTTGCAAGCAAGGCTATCTGGAGACGTTCCTGTACAATATGATAACCATTTGCGACCAGTACTTTATAGAGTCGCTGCAGAATGTTTGCGAGTCTCTAATCCTCGACAAAATCAGCATTAGAAAGTGCGGCGAAATGCTCGAGTTTGCAGCCATGTACAACTGCAAACTACTTCAGAAAGGATGCATGGACTTCATTTGCCAAAACTTGGCCAGAGTGCTTTGCTATCGCAGTATTGAACAATGTGATGGGGAGACTCTGAAATGCCTGAATGATCACTATCGAAAGATGTTCAAAAGGGTGTTCGACTACAGGCAAATAACTCCTTTCTCAGAGGCTATAGAGGATGAGCTGTTGCTCAGCTTAGTGGATGGGTTTGATGTGGACCTTGATTATAGAATGGATGCGGTTTGTGCTTAAAAATTCTATCTTTGATCTCGGTAAAAATACAGTTTCTTTTTTTCAGGAATCTAAGCTTAAGCAAGCAGCCAAACACAAGCAAAAGGATTTGCGCAAGCAAGATGCACGGCACCAGTATGAACAGCAGGCCATATCAAGTATGATGAGATCTCTGAGCATTAGCGAATCGACTCCAGGGGCAGAAGTGCCTTCATCGCCCCAGGATAGCGCTCGCAGCGATGCCAAAAACTGGTCCCGTGTGGTGGACAAAAAAGATCAAAAGCGAAAGCTTGCCGAAACCGCATTGAAAGTGAACAACACACTTAAGCTTGAGGAGCCACCAACCCATGAACTGATACCCATTGAAAGAAAACCCCTTAAGGAGCAAACACCTCCGCCACCAACACACGAAACTGAGCCCACTACACCATTAACCAAAAGTTACAACCTCGATTTTAGCTCCTTGACTCCCCAGTCGCAGAAGCTTTCGCAGAAGCAACGGAAGCGTCTTTCTTCCGAGTCGAAGAGTTGGCGGACTAATAACCCACCCCTGGTGGAACAATCGTCGACTCCAGTGGCCGTTCCGAATGCCTGGGGAGTAACTACAACCCCATCGAGTTCGTTCAATGACTCATTTACTTCGCCGACCACTGGAGGCATCACGGATCCCACTTCATTTGCCAATATGATGAGGGGACATGCAAGCTCTTCCACCACACCCACGGACCACGGCCAGAGCTTCTCGCGCATCTTGGCGGATGAAAAAAGACAGAGGGAATCCTATGAGCGCATGCGGAACAAATCTTTGGTTCACACGCAGATTGAGGAGACGGCCATTGCCGAATTGAGGGAGTTCTACAACGTTGACAACATTGATGATGAGACTATAACTATTGCCCGAATGCCCAGGCCCAGTGATATCAACTTTAGCACATGGCTGAGGCAGTAAATTGGTACAGGTAGCTTGGTAGTGTGAAGTGTTTGTCCTCTCGTTTTTGTTTTTGTTTTTATTAGAGCGTCCGAATTGTTTGTGAATATAAAGCGATTTACTGCGGCCGGGGGCATCAAATGTAGAACTCGGAGCCGCCTGCAAAGAAGCTCTAGCTAAATAAATTGAAAACTAAATTCAATAGGGAATTGGACGGCACATTGGGTAACAAACTTTATTGCATGAGCATATAGATTATACAGATAGATATAGATATTTACAAGCTGCGGACACACTCAACAATGAGGCAACAAGACAAGTGACGAATAAATAGCCATCTAAGCTACGCTAAACCGAACCGAACCCGAAATAAACCCGTTGCTTATGCAAATGAGAACACGATGAACGAAGGGGATTGACACAGAGCGAGAGGAGGAGATGAAAGTGGACGGGGAGATGTGGGCGAGGGATGTGGGGGCTTGTTCAGAAGCACTCCTTACGAAAGGCGAATCCGTACTGGTCGCACTTGTATCTCAACGTTTTGGCCAACTGTGGCGGGCCGCAGTAGAAGACGGTGACCTTCCCCTTTTGCTGGGCCTGGAGCTGCTTGAACACCTTATCCCAGTTGGGTCTGCCGGCATTGGTGCGGGTTTTGAGACCCGTGATCAGATCCCGCTTGCCCTGGTGAGGAATTTAATACAGAAGTTAGAATAACACTGATGTTGAGGCGTATGTTTCGGGATTACCTTTTCGTGCAGTAAGTCCAAAGCTAGTTGAAGACCCACTGCCTTCATGTCGGTTCTTTGCAGCGCACTTGTTATGTACATGTGCATGTCCAGGAATCTGCGGATATACCATTGACGAACTTCACACAATAGACACTTTCAGTTGACACTCACCGCTCCATGGCTCCGCCCAACTCTGCCTGCTCGATCTCCAGCTGGGATAGCAGATTGACAAACCACTCGAAGGATCTTTGATCCCTGTTGATCCAGAAGAAGTCTACCTTGCGCAGATTCATCACAGACTTAGGTATTTCGCTGGCCCATTCGAACTGGCATCTCGGGCAACTGTGCCGGGCCTTCCAGTACCGATGCATGATGGACTATTTAGGATTACACTTTTAGATGCGTTCATGGACTACACAAGGCCTAATGTACCTGCAGAATGGAGGCAAACGGTGTGACTCCAATGCCCGTGCCAATCAGCACCGCATGCTGGGCTCCGAAAATGTGACTCGAGGGTGCTCCATATGGGCCATCGATAAATATCTAGGTGGAGAATCAGAAAGTTAGCATTAAGATTAGGTTAGTGGGTTAGCCCTTGTTGGCTTTTGGTATGTGTGTTGGTGTAACCCGCACCTCCATGAATCCCGCATCAAGTGTGACTTTGCCACCGCTGTTAGTTGTGGAGCTACCAGTTGATCCCCCACCGCCTCCTCCGGCTCTGTTATTTATGGAGGCGGACAGGGAGCGCAGGAATGTGGGTCGTCGCAGAATAGATTTTCTGCTAGGCGATCCCGTCTGTGTTTGGTCCTTCGGTTGGAGGAATTAGTGGCTTAGAAGAGTTAGTTGGTAGGTCAGTCACCGACTACTTACCTCCAACGGCTTGGAGGCCCCCTCGGCCGACAGGCTCAGTCTGGCCACCTGCAACTTGTCCGCTGCATCCACCTTCAAACCCAGTTGACCCTGTTCTGCTCGGCTAGCTGGACTTGCTCCGTTGGCTTCTCCAGCCGCCACCTGATGCTCCCGTTCCTCCATGCTGGGCGTCTTGAAGGCGATAATAGTGGGCTTGGTACGCATGTATCGGAAACTCTGCGCCAGAGATTTGTTTTGCGGACTGAGGTAGGCCAATCCCACGCTGTTGTTCCTGGCACGGCGCACCCGCTTCTCATCAAAGGCAGACTCAGATTCGGAGCGACCCAAAGCTCGGAGGCTGTGGATTAGGAGGTGAGTCTCGAAAAGGTAGCACATATAAAGCTAATACTCACGCCTTGAGGCGACTCCGCTTTTTGCTCTTCACGCTGATGTCCGGCAGAGATATGCTCTTCTCCAGCGGTCTCTGCTTCAAGTTGGAGTCCTCCCGCTCGCCATCGCCAATGAAAGCTCCGTTCGGAATGCCCTTCTTGGGGTCCGCAGCCTCCTTTCTGGAGAATGTTCGCTGCAGACTCTTCTTGATGCTGCGTATGCGGTTAACACCTGTGGCTGGAGGATCGGAAGGAACTCCTGGCGCGGGCTTGCGGTTCTGGCGGGGCGGACGCACTGGCGGCACAGCCTGCACACCCAAATTCCTGGCCAGGAAATCTGTTTGCGGCGTAGCCGATCTTTCTCCGGCTATCGCAGGGTTGCGAGCTTCATTGAGGAGCATGAAACTGGGCGTGGGAATGGCGTGCATGTGTTGGGGAATATCTTGCGGGGAGCCACTTTGCTGCAGTTTTTGCTGCTCCCGCTCAAAGTAGCGGTACAAGCGATTGGTCCACTCGCCCACGGTGCGTATGTGCAACCACATGTAGTCCTCCTGCTCGGGCGCCGAACTAATGGTAAACGGATGCCACTCATAGTTGGCAATGGCCGGGATGTTCACGAAGACATAATCTCCGGGTCGGAAGTTAAAGTGATGTGGTCGTTTGATCACCAGATGCACCACTTTGGAAGGCAGAAGCAGCCCTGAGCTGATGTACGTCTTGCCGTGCTCTCCCCTCATCCAAATGAAGCGAAGTGCCCTTTCCACGATGTAAACGAGTCCTGGCAGCAGGAACCACTTCCAAAAGTTGGGGCCATGAAAGAGGCACAGTATCCAGAAGGGCACGTAAAGTAGATGGGTCCAATAGAAGACTTCGAAGCTACCTTTCCGTCGAACAAAGGGCTGTGAGCACACAAACATCACCACCAGGATGGCCAGGAGAGCTACGCCCGTGGGATTGGCACAGCCTGGTATCAGGCCAAACAGTCCAGGACGATCTGTAAGCAGCCATTCCCCTATGGTGTAATGACCCGCATTAATGTTTGGATCGTTGATCACGATGATGGAAAAGTTGAACAGATGCATTATCGTATGAACCAAGCTCAGTACGGAGATCGTGATGCCCGTGAGCTTGTGCAGATAGACGTGGTGATCCAGTGGCAGATACGAGGACAGCCCACGACCGCGGAGGTAAGTCAGCGAATGCCTCAGCATAAGTACGAGGACCCAGGCACAGTTGAAGTTGAGGCATTGCCCTAAAAGTAAATTATTAATTATGATAATCATACCATCCTATCAAATAGTCAATAGTCTAATATATTATATATTCCAGATCAGTACTCACCACAAGCTCTAGCTATGATGACGAATCCATTACTAGCACGGTACTGGATAGCGCGGGATATGAACAAGCACAGATTGACGGTGATATAGAAGAAGAGGTACGTGACGAACACCTGGTTGTTCTTCATGTAGGCCAGCGAGAACTGATGGGGCAGGGAGTTCCAGAAACCGCTCTTGGCAGCTCCTGCCGCCTGGCGATCCTCTGCGATGGGCACCAACCAGCGATCGATTCTACGAAATGGAATTTAGTTAGTTAAATTATAAAGTATCTTCAACCAGGTCTCACGTTATGCTCAGGTTCTCCAGTAGGCCACCGTGCTTATGGAGCTGGTTCTTCAGGGCCTCGTACGTGATTTCACCGCTGTTGTGTGGATCAGCATCCTCGAACATAGCGCTGGTGAGATCCTCGATCTGGTCCTCGGAGAACTCCATGCCGTTCTCCTTGATGCAGTGCCGTATAACATCGTGCAGCTCCTTGTGCTGAATGAGCCCGTCACCTGGTAAGATGAAGAGGGATGGCTCAAAGGAAATTCTCTAGTTTACCCTGCAAACCCACCATCTATATCATAGACCTTGAACAGAAAGCGGATCTTGTCATCTGCCGACTGACCAGAGAACTGGTGTATCGCATCAATAAACTCCTGCAGCGAAATGGAACCCGAGTTGTCCTTATCGAAGATTTGGAAAACGCGCTCTGTGAAGAAAGGCTAAATCAAAAGAAAATGGCATAAGTATCGATAAGCAGAATCGCTCCATCACTAAATTATGAACCTTCATTTCCAAATATTTTTACAAAACTATTCATTACACCAATTACTTGTTAAGCTAACTCACATTTTTTGAGGTAACTATCTTCTGGAACTCCTCCCGCCGAATTTCCTGCTCGTTTCCCACGGTAGTACGGAAAAGCTGCTCTAGCCGGGCCAGCGAACTCTTGTCGAATCCGGTCCTTGGTCGGGAGTTGGTCAGATGGGAGATGAACTCCATCACCTGGTTGGTGGACACCAAGTTGCTTCCATCCACCTCAATCAGGCGGTAAAGCTTGTCGAGGATCTGGTGGACGAATTTAGGAAAGGATCATAATAGGTTCCGAACATGATGGTAACCACTTACCCCTCTGGTATGCCAGATGTCGCGGAAGTTCTTGAAGGAAACCCTCTTATTCTCGCCGCAGATCACATAGGCGACCGATTCGATTTGCTCGGCAAAGTCCATCTGGCGATCGTCCCTGCAAGAGCCATAAAATATAACTCAATATAGGAAAATATATATTGGTACTCCCACATGTCTTGCCACTGTTGCACAGAAAAAACATTTACCCAGAATGCAATATTCTGAAAGTCCATAAAAGATCATTTTAAAGTGCGTCATCCTACTGATTGGTTTTCGGAAATAATTAATGCTTTCATTGATAAGAAGAATATTAAACTGATTCATGAAGTTGAGATATTATCGAAAATATTACTGAGCGAACTGGATTTCACATTAAATTGGTTTTGAATTCAATCGCCTCCTTCCACTGACACATATTTCCACCTTTATCTTTGGTGATTCCATTTGCTGATTTACATGTGTACTCCATCAGCACTTGGCAGGCGAATGCCAAATTATTTTGATTTGTGTTTGCGTTAAGCGAATTAATATATTTACAAGCCGCGCTGATGTTATTCGCTTTGATGATGTTGTATTGGGCTTTTAATTGTTTAAAGCACTTGATAAAAGTGCTGCATCGGTTTCGTTTTCTTTCTGTGCACAAGATACGGCGACTCCCGATCCAGATACCGATCCCTAACCCGCATCCCCAGATAGCGCTGCTGCTCGCACTATATTTGTATTTGAATGACTTCATTACGACAGGCAGCCAATGACAATTTCTGGCTGCAGAGCAGTCCAGGTGCCCAGTTCCAATCCAGAGCCAACTTTAGAGGCTGTCGAGGCACGCGGACTATGTTAGCTGTTGTATATGTTAACACACGGCGCAGATAGCATCGCCATGGGCAACGGACATCGCCATCGTCTGGGAACGGAGTTGGCATCTGGCATCTGGGGCTGTGATGTGGCATGGGGCTTCTGGTCGGCGCAGCTGGAATGGAATGCCTGGAGCACGCCAGCCAGGTGCGTGTGTGGATCCGAGTGGATCGGACTGGATCGTATGGCTATTTTTTCCCGAAGGCGAGCTAATTGTTTTGGCACCGTCGCAACATCATCGCCAGCGATCTCAACGGAGCAGGAGGATACCAAGAAACCAACTCCAACCAACCCACACTTACGTTAGCCGACCCTTGAGGTGCTCGATCCAGCGATCTTGCAGGAGGTAGCCATTCCGCTCGAGATCAAACAGCTGGAAGAGCTTCTGCTGGAATTCCTGTAAGCAAGACCGAAAAACAAGTTGTAAGCCGATGGATTTATGCGTCTCCCGTTTCTGGGCAAGTGTTAATTAATTTACGTTCGCATTGTTTGGAGAAGCATTTGTTTATGCCCCTAATCGAAGATTTATATATGTATATACTCGTATACGGTGGAAGCAATGTGTTTACCCACTACTGACCCACGTAATGAGCATAATTAAGAGTGTTCTGGTCCCACGATTGCGAATGGGAATCGAACTATGCGGTAGTGATGAAGACGAATGGCATAAATTAGCCGCTTATTAATATTTTAATGGCATTCGATCTCACGATCATGAGCGGCGCAGCATTGTCTGCAAATCGAAGCGCAGCGCGCTGGGTCTTTTGCATTTGGTCACAGTTGGTGTGGCGATGGGATCTGCGATCTCCCAGCTCCCAGCTCCCGGCGATGATGAAAAATGTGCATATTAAACGGATGAGCCCTGACTGGTTAAACGGCTTTCGGGGAGCCCATAAAAACAAAATGCTCGTGGTCGGAGCCGAAACAAAATAAACACCAGCCGCAAAGCTGAGCCCATCAAGCAACCCAAAACGGGTTTTACGACCGACCAGCGATCGGGTAAAGGACCACAGAATAAGTGGCACAAGGTCAGGCGCTCTGGAGCGCACTTTCCGAGACCCATATCCATTACCATTCCCATAAACTCGGATCCATTTGGTGATGTAATTTACTGCACTGAAGTTGCCCTAAATGCTTCTTCAACAGAACACTATTTGATTTTTTTTTAATGGATAAAGGAAGCAGAAAGTAGCACCACTACAACTTTGGGAATTTTTTTTACTTCGATTTGTATGAAAGGACTCTCGTGGAAGGACTCACCTCGTCCAGGAAGAGCTTGCGGAAGGCCTCCCTGGTGTGTTTGCCCTCGCCCTCGTCGAAAAGTGCACTGCACTCGGATATGAGAAGCCAGCGCTGCTTCTCCCGTCGCGCCTCCAGCTCCATGGAGCTGCAGTTCTTATCTAAATTGAGGTTGTATCGTTCCATGTACAAATTTGATTGCCGCTGATTCGGATTCCCATTTCCATTTGCACTGGCAATCGCTTCCTGCTTGCCAACGCTGGCAACTAGAATACTCGGCGAGCTGGCCACAATTGGGCCAGCATTTGCCGCCGGTTCATCAGCACTAGCCTCCACTGCATCCAAATGCAGAACGGCCGCTTCCCCCATATCTCTGCTATCAGCTCTCTCGCCATCTGGCTGCACTTCCTCCGCCTCTTCCTCGGGGGAATCACGTGCGCCATGCAATCGCTCCAGATACTGGGCAGCCTGCTGGAGCACGTGACTGACAACCGTGGGCGCTGGCTGCTGTATGGGTTGCTGGGCAGGAGTTTGCGACTGGGGCAGCTCATCCGAGAAGGAAACTTTTTTGGGCGACCGCGAGGGCGTGGCGGGAATCTCCAGGGAGCGACTGGACGAGACCGAACCGCGATGGTTGTTCGACTCCTGGTCCGTGTCCATGTTTTTCGGTGGGAAAGTACACTAGCCAATGGGGAATCACAGAATCACGTGCCACTCACTTTTAACACATGCCAATGAAATGGGCTACTAAAGCGAACTAGTATCAAAGGACACAGCAGCAACGCTACGGTGAGATTTCAACTTGGCACTCAAGTGCTCCACATGCCAAAGGAGCGGCAACTATATATGCTACACACTGCTTCTAGGCGTGATCCTCGCGTCGGCTTTTAAGATGCAGCAGCCGCAACAAGTAGCAGCAATGAGCACAGAGTATCGCACTTCACTTTCCAGCTCACCACATGCCAAAGGTGTGGGAGTGGCCACTAAAGGGTGTTATCCTTGCGTCGGAGTTCGGAACACGGCAGCAACGAAGCGACGACGAAGCGACGCGACTCAGGCAAGAAGCAACACCAATCGGCGGCAGCGGCGAGCAGCAACTGAAAGCGAAAGCCAGGCAGGTGAGGTGAGGGCCTCGGATCCGATCGGATCGGAGCGCTATAGCTTGGCACGCTCTGGCCGCTGTGTTGGTGAGCGGGACTGATCGCTCGGATCGGAGGGAGCCGATCGGTCGAGCGGTTTGGAAAACGCGTTTGCCCAATATCGGTTCAATATTTCAGGCTTCTGCCAGCCAGCGGGTTTTAGAATGGACATGCAATGTCCCAGCCGATACAGCAGTACGCACTGTGTGCGAGTGTGTATCTTTGCATCTGTATCTCCATCTCCGTGCGGCTCATAAAATGGCTGCTCAGATAGATGATTGCCCCGCGTGTCTGTGAGTGTGTGCGATTGATATTCTAATTTGGTTTTTGCGACTCATACCGGGAGTTGTGTGTACTTATTCGATAAGGGCTGCAAATAATTCAGGTGTCGCGGTCTCGACATCTTCATTTTTTAATTTCAATGCCCGTGTTTCGTAACAATCAAACTTGTTTATGTGCCGCAGCCGTCGAACGTGTCAATTTCCGAATTCCCGACCAGAGTGCACGGCACATTCAGCCGCCTTTGTTACGAACTGCAATCGGAATTGGGTTTAAGTTGGGCTTGGGATTTGGGATTTGGCATTTCACATTTCTGTTCTGGCTCTGCTCGTCACATAATGGGTCAATGGCAATGGGTCACGCCAGCCAGCTGGCCAGGAAGTGAGTGCGTGTTTGGGCCAACGTAGCCAGCCACTTGGGGCCAATTCAATCGAATTCGAGTGCTCTAAGCGGTCAATCCGGCCAAGGTCGGGCCAACACTTCCCCACCCGCCGAATACCGAATATCGGATACTTTCAACATCTTATTGTTATCGAGTCGTTGAACTACCGCCCCCCACCGATGCCCCCCACCACTCCATCCCAAACTCGGCGATTGCAGCGCCTTGAACGCTCGTGAAGTTGAAGTTGATGCTGGAGCTGGAGCTGTGAAGTCTCCGCCAAAGGGCAATAATATAGATACTTTGTAGAGCAGCAGCTATGACTCGTGTCTTGTTTTTCTAAATGTTGCTACTTTGTTGCCACACCGAGAGAAAAGTTTAATAGCTGGACTACTAATGGTTAATGATTCCTACATTTATTAGAACTTTATGGGAAATAAATAATATTAAGGCTTGCAATCGATTTGAGATACATTTGAAATACATTGTAGTAGTATTACTACAATATTGCTGAATATAACATTTGATAGATTCGCTATTAGTTGTTTTAGTAGCAGAAAGCCATAACTTAACTTCACTTAATTTTTGCTGGCATTTGGAAGCTGGTTTTCCGAAGTTTTCTGTGATTTCTTATCGGTTTATTGAATGCTGTGGGAGCATCTTCAACAAAATTATAGCACAGCAACTGTAATAAATCATAAAACCCATAAAACTGATGACTAATTAGCCAATATATTTTTCTGCGTGCAATAAGCGGGTCGATCTGCTGATTAATGTTCGACAGCGGCCTTTGGCTTTTGTTTACGGGTTAGTGCCCCACACTGGATCGGATTGAGATACATATTAGCACCGGATTCCGATTGGGATTCAGATCGTTTCCGCCTCCGCTTCACACTCTGCTAATCCACGGTGTGCTGCATGTGTAAGCCCCATGTATGTGTACCCCCCCATCTGAAATTTGGTGTCTGGTATCTGGCGAGTGCTATCTGGTATCTCAGATACTTAGTAGCGAACATCCGCTGCGCTTAAGACGGCTTTACTCACCTGTCCGCCAGGCTTTTATGGCCATTGTTAATTGCTGAAATTGGCATTCCCAATCACAGCGGGCGACACTCTTGGTCAGCAAGTCGCATTCGATGCCCGCTGGTGGCCAGGGAATTGGCCACTGGCCATTAGACATTAGACACTATCCACTGCCATCCACTTCCAGCCACTACTGGTCATTGGTCCCTCATTGTGATGGCAGTGGTGGCGCTGCAATTGACACCGCTGCGGCCAATTAAGCCCGCAGTTCCAGCTGCAAAGATACAAAGACAGAGACAGAAACAGAGACATCCGCGAATTCGTGCGCCGGGTGGTCCATCTGCAAAACGAATCCCCGACTGCTGGCATGCAGATTGATTTGCTCGGCAAACGTTCGCCGCTTGTGGGCAATTTTCCAAGTGGCCGGCGACGAGAGCAGTGTCATCAATTTAAATTAAGTTCCAGCTTTTTATCGCCACTCGGCGGACCAGTCTCCTCGCCATTCTCCATCTCCAGTTGGCCAGGTCTTTGCCGGCTCCTTCTCCTGCACCGTCATCATTATCCAAAACATGTCATTAGGCGGCCGCAAGATGCCGAGTACCAGAATCCTGTTCTGCCTGGCGACTGTCTTCGCTATCAACTTGGAATTCCAGCTCCCAGCTCTGTGGCAGCGACGCCAACAGCGGAGCAGCAGCGGACCAGCAGCGCAGCAGTGTGTTGCGTGCAGCGGAAATTGGCCAGATACAGATACTTCAACTCGGCTTCAGACTCCGCAGAGCCGCAGACGCGCTTACATCGATCGGTTTCGTCTAATAAAGCGACCGCGATCGCCACGCTAATTAAAATAATTGAAATTTCTCACGGGAAACGCGCATCGCGACACTTGCAGGGCATCCTATGTCCACTCTATATCCCCATCCTCATCCTCATCCCCATTCCCATTCCCATTCGCCGTCTCAATGCCAATTCCCATCCCCATTCTATATCCCCATCCTCTGCGATATCCGTTGCTAGTGCGGCTAATTGCAAATTGCAACATGGACATGTGGACATGTCCAACAATCGAATTGACAGCTGCTTTACCCCTGGCACATTTGATGGACATTAACATGGATCATCGTCCGTTGTCCCATTCGTGCTCCTCCGCTCGGCGCTGGCGAGGATTCCGGCATAAATGCATAAATTTCATTAGCCGCTGACAGGACGGTTCCCGCTAGTGTTGAGTCCCTAAATTAAGTGGACGGGTCAACCCAGTTATTCTTGGCTCTGATTGGAACCATTAACCCATTATTTGCCGTACTCTTGCGTTTAATAATTTATGAGATATCTTCATTTAATATTTTAATCTGCACTATTTATTTGTGTAAGTAAAAGATTAGATAGAATCAGGTAGGATTGAGGGAAGTCTAAGTGTTCCTGTATATCCTGTGATGTTATATAAGAAATATAAATAAAAAATGTATAACTAATTAGAAATTCTTCTAAGACTTGTACGTCAAAGGAAAAGTTTGCTTGCCTCTTCAATTCAAAATATTATATCGGTAGAAAAAGATAACATAAATATAATCATAAACTAAATTGTTGTAATAATCAGATTTCTTTTTATAGGTAAACATTTTTCTCACTTATAAATTTGATAATCCAGAAGAAATTCATTTACATAAAATTCACATAAAACAAACTAAAGCTTCAAACAAGGTTCAAGGATTATCCTCACTGCATTTTGGTGGTTCTGAAACCAAACCCCTTTAGTTTCGTCAAATAATGGGTTAATGGTGCCGCAGGAAATGCCGACCACAAATAAAGTAACTAAACGCAGAGTTCCACAAAATATTGTTGCCAGCGATCGTGGATCGTGGCATGCGCACTCTGATCGAGATCGCAGCGACAGATAGCGGAGCAAAGTTACGATCATACATATGCATATAGACTGGGGCCACGATGCCCCAAAAACCCCACCAACTCCTCCATATCCTCGCCTGGAGCCGTAAAGTTGTCGAAAATGATTTGCAGATCAAGATTTGTGCGCACAATTTATGTGATAACCCACTAAGAGCAGTGGAGTAAGTAAAAAAGTTGCAATTCCAATGCGAGATCGGTCTACTCCCTGTCCAGGTCCTGCTCCTTCCGATCCTCCTACAGCGTCCAATTAGTGCTTGGACTCCAACCGCATTTGAAATTCATGGACAATTGTTAGTGCCTCCGTGTAGCCGCTAATAATGACGCCTTTAAATGTGCAATAACAATTTTTGAGGCGCGCAAAAAGTGACTTCTATATATAAATGTATCGATGTATCTATGTATACACTGTATTCGTGTGCGTGAGCTTAAGTACCGCCCATAGGCCGGCAAACCAGCTACTGCCGCAGTAACTCCCCCTCAAAACCCCCCGACTTCGCCTTCCAGACGATCTACAAAAAAGTTGCTCATGAGCTACGTGAGTTTTTTACTGATCAGCTAGCCGAGAGCAGAAGATTGACTTTGATCTGTTGGTGGTAATGGGTAATGGATAATGGGGCAGCCTGAGTGCACTTTTCACTTAGCCTGGCCAATTGGCATCCCAAATATGACTCATAAACTGTGGTATCTAAGTCGCTTAAGTCACGTTACGTATACGCACTGTGTGCCCACAAACATTTCAGCGGAATTCAATGATAATATGATAATGAGCACGTATACAGATTGCCTTGACATTTTATCACCGACTCAACTTTCAATAGAGCTGTTAAGGAAAGAACTTCATTTGCTCGTGATTCGGTTTGCAGATTGCAAAATCAAGGGAAAATCCATGGCACATCTTTCAATGTTAATGCATTGCATGAGTAAGTATGGGCTGCCTGGGAATCACACCGCCTACAATGCTTATCAATATCTGCGATACTGAAAGATCCCAAAGGAAATGTCTTTGTTTGCGGCTCACATTATTGGGAATGTAGTTGAATCATCGATTGAACATTCCAGAATTACTGAACAGGAGAAGAGTACAACAACATGTGACATTCAATATAAGTGTGCACAAATATAGTAAATTAAAACAAATGTATACATAATTTGTGTAACCTTTTCAACGTTCTGAAGGATTTATAACTGCGCTCCAGTCAAATGAACTGCCAATCTTGCGGTCGTAATCATTAATCAATTTAATGCACTGCGCTTGGCTGATTAAAATTGGGTGCATGTCGCCGCCAGTGAACCAAATTAAGCCCTTGGGAGTGGCCCCAGCCGCCCAATTGAAATGCCAGCTCATGACCGGAGACATGGGATTTGGAGTTGGAGCTGCAGTGGACCACGAGCTTGGAGGTTCGAGCTGAAAGCCCAAGACCGCCCGGTCGACAGGCGAACAAAGTGTGTGTCAGTTGCAGTCAAGTGGAGCCACAAAGCTCCCCGATCCCACAGATCGACGGTGGCGATGTCAGCTACTGGCGATCAGTCACCGGCGAACGGGAATTGGATTGGGATTTGGATATGGATATGGATGTGGATTTGGATTCGGTTGTGGGCGGTTTTCGGTTTTGGATTTATGGGCTGCCCAACGTCAGCCTAATGAGCAGCCTGCATCCATAATGCCGGCCCAAAGAGACGTGAGCATTGGAAAAATACAGAAAAATATATGGGAAAATAGAGAAAAATGGTGAAAAAGTCAATTGGATTAGATTAGACGGCGCAGCTGTCGTGACAGGTTGAGCGCTGAGTTTGGAGCTCGGAGTTTGGAGCTTGGGAGCTTGGAGTTTGGGAAACGGGCACGAATGAGAATTTATGGCCAATGCCAGCCGAGCTGGATCTTGGCCAGATTCAGAGCTCTGGCTGCGTGCAGGGAACGCAATATGTTATAATGACTTCATTACACACAAAAAATAAGCAACAGGAGTCGCAACGGAACGCTGGCTGGAAAATTGCAATAAAAAAGCGCGGCTCTATTTTGACTTTTTCCCTGCCAAATTTGGCCGCTTTGATTCGTCGCATAATTGGCAATTATCGTGGCAGATCGAGACGTGGGCGATATTCCATGCACTTTTTGGTATATCTTTTTCTGCATTTTCCTTAGATATAGGTGGCACGCAATCCCTGCGGGTTGTCTTTGTGTGTGTCAGGATTAATGCACTAATGCTTTATTGTGGCTCATTGTTTATGGTGGCTGTGGGCATGGTCAGGTGCGGTTAGCGGCCATTTATTAATTGCAAAACCCATTCACTTTGCCTCCAGTTGCGCGGCTTTAGCCTTAGGCCCCCAAGTGAATGGGGCCCAAAAGAAAAAAATAGTGGAGCCAAAAAAATACAGCCAAACTCCTGCACGCACATTTGCATTTTATGGCTGAAATTAGCGTCTAATTGGAGTTTACACGCTGCATATTTTATTCGCAAATAAATTGTGTTTTTGCAGTGCCCACTTTTTGGGTATTTCATTTGATTTGATTTGATTTTTCTATCTGCTGCTTTTTGCCTTTGCCTTTGCCAATTGCCATTTGCCGAATTTGTCAGCGTTTCTCGCTCTCTCAATCTGAATAGGCCCGAAGTCAAGTGCTGCGGGCCATTCACCACGCACCAATATTATTAAATCGCAGCGCAAACACCTGCAATGGCTGCTCGACTTTGGCCTATGCGGCGTATGCGTGATTTATAATTGCGAGCCACTCACACCACTGCGACGCACACGGGCACACACTCGCCTGTATTTGCACACACACACATGCACACACAGACACACACCTGCACAGGTGCACGCAGTAGGCGTGTTCATTAGACGGCCTTAAAACGCACACACTCCAAAATGGCGACCATATCGCCATCGTGCCCCACAGCCAACTTATGAATTGAGCAACCCAGAGCCAATCTCGCAAGTGACACAAATCGCACGGGGCGCAGGTGGCGATTGCCCAGATTCATTCGGTGAGATCACCACGAGTTCCCAGGAGCCCAATCAGATCCGCAATTCCATGTCAACCTTATTGAATGACAATCTAAATGAGGTTAATTTGTTTACTATCAAAGCAAGATATTAATAACAAATAAAATCTGTAAATTTGATTAGGCGAAGCAGAAGATTTCCAAATCAACTTAATTATTCTAAAATATTAAAAAATATATGCATCAAACAAGTCTTACTAAAAGGCTTCAATTACAATTACCTTGCTAGAAGATACATTATCTGTAGTTTTTATTGAAAATGGCAAGAGCTTCCTAAGCATCTGGCAGGCAGAAT